AAACCGGCCAGGGCTAAGTATATAATCTTTTACATCATTAAGTATGTAAGAAAGAGGTTGTAAGTGTGGGGCCCTAATCCAATAAGGCTGGTGCCTTTATAAGAAGAGGAAGAGATATCAGAGCTCTCTCTTGAGGACAGAGCTAGAAAGTGGCCACCTGCAAGCCAGGAAGAGAGACCTTACCAGAAACCAAATCACCTAGCACCTTCATCTTGAACTTGCCAGGCTCCAGATGTGAGAAAATAAATTTCTGTTGTTGAAGCCATCCAATCTATGGTATTTTGTTATGGCCACCTGAGCAGATTAAAACATGGGGGTTATCCAGAAGGCTCCATTGAATGCTATGACAAACTTGAGGGGCTTTAGGGTTTTGGCCTGTGCTTTCCTGTATCCAGCTGTGTCCCTTGACCGTGTTGTCCTCCTTTTGTTGTAGCCACACTTCCTGAAGGAGTTGTCTATACTTGCTGATCACTCATTCCCATTCATTCATTCTCCAGTCACTTCAGTTTGGCCTCCATTGCACAGAAGCTGCTTTGATGTTCCATCTGGTGGGCACTTTTTGGTCCTCATCTTACTGTTACTCTTTTTCTCAACCCTTTCTTCTCCCTCCCGTTGGTCTCTTCTGTATCTCTCTCTTTTTTTTAATCCTCACTTGAGGACAATTTTTACATTTTCTTTTGTTCAGATAGAGTGGGAGGGAGAGAGAGGGAGAGAGAAACATCACTGTGAGAGAGACACATTGACTAGCTGCCACCCACACGACCCAACCAGGGCTGGGGACAAACTACAACCAAGGTACATGCTTTAGCGGGGACCGAACCCGGGTCTCTCTGGCCTGCAGGCCGACACTCTAACTGCTGTGCCAAACTGGCCAAGGCCCTCCTGTATCTCTTTCTTCCTTCCTGCCCTCTTGCTTGCTCACTCAGATAAAGCAAGCTGCCATGCGGCAGAAAGCTCTATGGAAAGACCCACGTGGCAAAGGCCTGAGGGAGGCCTCTTGCCAGCAGCTTGTGAGGACTTGAGGTATTGGTCCAACAGCCCAGAAGAACTGAATCCTGCTAGAAACCATGTGAACTTGGAAGAGGATTCTTCACAGCCACACCTGGGAGACTGGGAGAGAGTCAGAGCCAGAGGATCCAGCTAAGCCACACCCAGACTCCTGACCTATATAAACCATGGTACAATACATGTTCTTAGCCACTAAGTTTTGGGTATTTCTTATGCAGTCGTAGACAACTAATACAGTCACTGAATTGATTTCTCAACCTGATAATGGGTAATGACATGTAGCTTGAAAAACACTGATCTAGTTCTAGATGCAGCTACTGTGCCTGGCATCAGAGGAAGATTCAAGGATGTATAAGACCTGCTCATTGTCTTCAAAGAGCTTTCAGTGTCTTTTGAGGATCTAAAAAGTTAATAGGATGCATGTATTTCTAGGGCAGGCTGTTCTTGCTGTTCTAAGGCAGGAGACGGAAATGAGAGGTTCCCTCAGGCTGAGATAGGCCACTGTGGTGAGCGCTGAGATATCTTGATTGGGGAGCCCTTCAGGGGAACACATAGACCTCACAGGAGGACCCAAAGGAATTTCCACATCCAGAAAGGCTTAGAAGAGAGATGAGCCCATGAGAAGAACTCTGCTCAGGGGAAGAATCAAAGTGGCCACAAATTGTATCTTATTTCCACTGTGGTTGGAGCCAGGGTGGGGGAGGAGTGTGTAGGATGACAAGGGCTATTATGAAAATTAAATGACTAAATATGTGTAAAATGCTTAGAACAGTGCCTGATGCATACTAAGTGGCTATATGTTGTCATTGTTAACTTGTCTGGGCCCTAGCCATGTTCACAAACAACTTTCAAATCACCAAACCCAATAGTCCTCTTCAGTTCTTCCCCTCCTCACCTCCAACAACAGGCCCTGATATTGATTTTAGTGAATGTTAGATGGGAAATGGTCCCCACTGGGCCTCTCAGTCATGGAAGTCGAGCTGCTCTCTCTGCTCACAGGATAGTGTCCCTTCCACAAGTGCCCTGAGGATTTATCTTTCTCAGCAAGGGGTAAACCCTCGAGGAAAGAGCCAGATAACAAGTTTGTCATTGCACAAGAGGTTTCCTAATCTGGTAGGCAGTTTTCAAGCATCAACAGGGACGGTGTGCAAGCCCTGGCAAAACTCTAAGCCTCTTTCTGTTCATATATGGAGGGTATATGGCTTCCAGCTCAGGTAACCAGACTTGGACCAGGGCTTTAAGGTGCCTAGGCCTCCAAAGATGCTCTGGATTTCTTCGACCAGCTGAGAAGCCTTAGCGTAGCTTCCCCTTGCACAGCTCCATCTTTCTAAGCCCCTCCTTTGTTATTCTGAAACTGAAAGTGGCACTGGATATTTCATGGGTAAGAGAAAAATTTGCCAATTGATTATGTTTAATGAAATCTGTAAATATCATGATTGAAAATCTTAGAACTGTCAATAAATGTTTACTGAGCACCCTCTAGGTATTGTGGGAATATTTATTGAGCATTGAAGTAGATTGCAAAACCAGCTGCTATTCTCTATCCATCCCTATATCCATGTCCCTTACAATGTGACTTTGCTTCTCTTGCCATCAGGACATGGAGTCTATTTCCTTACTCTTGGACCTGGGTTGGACTTGTGACTTGGATTAGCCAATACAACTATGGATGTGATGTAGTGCTAGTTTTGAGCTTAGACGTTGAGAGACCTGGCCTGATTCCACTCTTGCTCCTTGAACCCTGAAACTCAATGTGAGCCAGCCTGGGCTAGCCTGCTGGTGGATGAGAGATATGTAGCCCACTTACCTCAGTGGACAGCTAGCCACTCCCAGAAGCAGATGCATCTGGCTTCCTAGCTACTGACCCCAGATGCATGTGGGAGTCCAACTGAGGCCAGAACAATTGCCTGGCTGAACCCAAACTAAAATACTGGCCCATAGAATCATGAACTAAATAAATAGTTATTGTTTTATGCTACTTCTAAGTTTTGGTGTGATTTATTATGACAGAGAAAAAGTGCTGACTGATATAACCATTTACCATGTGCCAAGCTCTGGTCTATTTGAAATCAGGCAGAGCCTTGGGAGAAAAGCCTTGTGCAGACATGGCATAATAATGGGCATGATGCAGTAAGTACTCTGTAGAAGCAAACACACTAGGAATAGAAGAAGTGGCTTTTGAATTGGAGAGGAGTCTTGTCCATGTGGAGTTGGAGGGGCCAGGATCAAATTTCTGGGAGAGGGAATTGAGTAAGGCATGAATGTGGGATACCCCAGGCTAGGGCCATCAGTCAGTGGCATTTACTGAGCCCTTACTACCTGTATAGATAGAAGCACTGGCTATCGCAGGTTTGTGTATGGCCTAGCAGAGGAGAGAAGACATCCACTTGTGGAAATTGACCAGAAATGTAAGATTGGTTTTAAGTGAAACAGAAGTAGTTCTGCTTTGTCCAGAGTAATAAGGATCTTGGCTTGGGCATAACAGGACTTGATCCAGTTGTTATTTATATCTGGTACCTGGTATAAATGTTGCAGAGATACAGTAATGATGAGGCTGGGGAAAGGCTTCCACAGTCTTCATGGGAAGGAGTCAGAAACCATGGCTGCTCAGGCATCCTCATGAGTCATAACCCCTTGAGGGCAGGGTCTGTGTCTGGTTCATCTTGGTATACCCCAAGATATAGGGCCTTGCCTACACTGGGCATTCGGCTTTGAAAGACTTTCTTTGCAGATGTTTCTAATTCCTTTCCCTTTATTCCCACTCGCCCAGTTGTATTAGTTTTTTAGGGCTGTTGTAATAAATTGCCACAAGCTGGTGGGCCTGAAACAAGAGAAATATATTCTCTCACAGTTCTGGAGCTAGCAGTCTGAAATTAAGGTGTTGACAGAGTTGGTTCCTTTTTTACATCCTCTGAGGCAGAATCTGTTCCTAGCCTCTTCCTAGCATATGGTCCTTGCCCACAATCCTTGGGGTTCCTTGGTTTGTAGAAGCATCACTCCGATCTCTGCCTCCATTGTCATACGATGCATCTATGTCTCTATGTGTCTCTTCTCATAAGAGCACCAGTCACGGCCCACTCCAGTGACCTTATATCTGCAATGACTCTACTTCCAAATAAGGTCACATTCTGAGGTACTGGGAGTTAAGACTTCAACCTATCTTTTTTGGGGAGACACAGTTCAACCCGCAACATCCATTAGAACCAGGGGAATGTGTGTTCCTGACTATCCCAGCCCCCAGAGGCAGAATTAAATCTCTTTCCTCACAATTCCCACACACTTAACACATGTTTCTGTCTATTAGCACATTTAACTCATTGATCGCCCTCACTGGTTGAGTTAGGGGCCTGGTGTCTTCCTCTTCCCCGTAGCCTGGAGGGTATAGGGCGCGTTCTCCGTGAAGCTGCCCCCTTTCCCTGAGCTGTCGTGTTGGGCACCGCAACCTCAACATTTCCTGTATGAAGCCTCGCAATGACCCTGTGAGTAGGTATTTATATATTTCAATCCCTATTTTATAGAGGAGAACACTGGGATTTAGAGAGGTGAAGTAACTTCGTGTGGCCAGAATTATTGTCTCTCAAAACCCGAAGGGGCGCCTGAAGGCATCGTGTAAAAGTTTTATTCCCACCTTCACGTTTCTCCAAGTACCCTCATCTGGCTAATCAACTCCATTCCCTTGAGAAAAACAAATCTGGAGCCTCAGCCCTGCGTTCCCTTCTCCACCCCGCCCTCTCGAGCGTTCTCCTTCCAGAAGCCGCACACAAAGCGGATCCACCCACGGGAGCGCGCGGGCCGCCCTTCCGCGCGCGCCGCTCCTGGGTGCGGCGTGAGGACCCGCGAGCTGCTGGGTTGCGCGCGGCCCGGGCCCGCTGCCTGCTCCCGCCCCGGAGCCTGTCCTGGCGCCGCGATTGGCCGGGCGGCCGAGCGCTCAGAGCTCAGGCCCCGCCCGCCCCTCCCTGCCTGCTCCAGCACGCTGCCGTTGCATGGGGCGCCGCCGGCGGCCGAGGGAGCGTGACTGCGCTGCGCAGGGCGCTAGGAGGCATTGTCGCCGTAAGTGGAGCAGAAAGCGGCCCGGAACGGGGCCCCAAGCTTCGTGCCCCGCAAAGTAAATGTAGTTTGAGGCTAAGCTCTGGAGGGGCTGGGGTAGATAGGGAGAGACGTGTCCCCGTTTTTGCAGGGTACCCTCCCCTCCCCCAGGTCACCCGATGCAAAGAGCAGCGGTGCACCAGCTGCGGCTTCTGCAGTGTCCAGGGGCCGGCGCCGCGCCGGCCCATGCTCGCAGACTGAGGCTGGACCGGGGCTGGCTCGGGAGAGGGGGCGCAGCGGTGCCAGGGTATAGGGAGCTCGGGGAAGCAGTCCCGGGCGGGCCTCCATTCCCCGCGGGAGGCGCCCCTGCTGGGAGACGCTGCTGTGTATTTCGTCCCTGAAGTGACACCTTTGGGTTTGCTTCCGCTCTAGGGAGCTGCAGACGCGTGCCCCAGAGCGTGCCCCTCGGCCTCCGGAAGGCGCGGGAGTCCCCAGCCTTCTGTGATCGCTGCGTTCTTTCCTCTGCCTGCTTTATTCTCCCCAGTCCCCGCCTGCAGGGAGAGCTGAGGGCCGGCGACGTGGAGCCATTGGCTGCGGGCGCCGGGGGGTGGGGTAGACCGGTGAGGCGGGCCCCTTGCGCCAAGCAAGTGGACCCTGGCCTGGCCACCTCGCTCAGTCCTAGGAGGCACAGCCGGAGGATGCTTAGATGCCTATAGGGAAGCACGCGCGGACGCTGCGAACTCATGGCTCAAAAACAAGGCGCCAGCCGGTCCTGCTCACGCCCCAGCGGGCTCCTTTCCCTTGGGTGAAAAACTGGGTCAACTCTCTTCTGGCCTCGAGTGGGCCTTCTGGGCTACTTGGGTCCTATCCAGCCCGCCGGCTCTCACCTCCCCATCGGCTCCCCCATTGGCGTGGTTCAGGAGACCCGCTGGAGCCAACGGTGGGGGAGCTTGCACACATGGCTCAGAAGGCTCGGGTTGCCCTTCCTAACGGCTGCCAGGCTCTAAAGTTCCCAAGTGACCACACCAGTAACTAAATATAGGAGCAGCTGGTGTGGATGGGGTGTTGCAGCAGCTCCTTTGCACAGATCTTGGGGCTCCAGATAAGGTAGAGTTCTCATTGGTGAGGGCGGGAACCGTGGCAGGGGGCTACTGTCAGGGTTTGAACAAAAATCACCCCTCAGCCTCCTATCCAGGTGAAAAGAGGTTACAGGTACGGGAGGAGGGCTGTGTTGTCAGCTCTCGTAAAGCGGGGCACCTTTTCTTTTTCTTTTGCGTTCATTTTATTATATTCTAACTTACTGTACCTGTTTAATCAACTATTGGTAATGCCTTGTGTGGGAAGTGCTTAACAGTTTGCAAAGACCTTTCTTAAAAGTTATATGTCATTTACTGCTCAAAACAACCCAGTGAGGAAGTTGATATATCCATGTTACATTACAAACTGGACTCCTCGTAACACTGAGAACTTTCCAAAACGTTGGTTGGTTTAATCTGCTCTCCTCAAAAACTCTCTGCAGCTTTCTGAAGAGAAACAGGACAGACTTACAGAAGGACCTCCAACCCTCTCCCCCAGTTATCTGGGGACAGACTGGCTGCCTGTCTCCCTCTTTCACTCATCATTTTGGATACCTTGTCTCTATTCCCTTGTCCCAGCCATGCCATGTGCCTTCATGGCAGAGGGCACATATACTCCTTGGGCCAGGTGTCATTACCCTACTAGCATCTGGCTTATTCTGCCTCTTGTCACTTAGTCTCTCTTACCCGATGGAAAGCTCATTGTGGCCCATGCTCTGACTGTACCTAAACTCAGCTACCTCAAGTGTAGCTGTAGTCCCTGGAGGAGGTGCCCAGGAGATGTTTGTTGGATTTAAACATTTCCTGGAACTATCATGCACCCTCTGAGGAAAGGGGAGTTGGGGCTGTGTTGAGAGGGTTGTGTTGCTGGGACAGCAGCAGTATGAGTACAAGTTTGGGACCCTGTGCCTAAGGTGTCTGCAGGATTTGGAGTGCTTTTCTTGAAATTTTCTAAGGCTGTTCTTTAGTGCCTGGGACAGCAGTTGGAGCCACCAGAGCCATCGGATTTGGGTACCCAAGTCCGGACCAGACTCATATGGGCTGATGGTTCCTATTTCCTCCTTTAGGACACTCTTTCTGTTATCACCACCACTGCTTGTGGGGTTGACCAGATGCCTCATGGAGTCCAGAACTTGGGCCTATGGAGTTGGATTCTGGGTTCTGGTTCCAGGAGGGCTGCCTTGCATACTGATTGCTCCCACTGGCCAGTGTGATATTTTTCTCGTGGGAGTACACGAGACAGGGCAGCCAGAATGGTGCTGACATGCTGATTTTGATTCACTCAAATTGTTTATATAGACAGGGGCCCCACATTCCTAGAGGTGGTCCTGCCTATGGGGATTTGTACTCCATCACTTATATGTAACTCAGACAATTTTCCATTTTTTTCTCAAAAACAGTTTAAAACAAAAGAAAAGAGGAGCAGTGTTTTTTTTATTTTTCCTCCCTCCTCAAACCTTCTTTCTCTCTAGGTTCCTGTTACATGCTAAACAAAAAGAAATTTATTTTTTTTTTGGTCAAAGAGGCCCTGCATTTGGTTGGGGCTGAAAGGAGCAGCCAGTGAAGTTGGACAACTTTGTAGGAGCCCTCTTGGGGACACACACTAGACTCCTATCATTCCAAGTTCTTCCCTCATTTTTGGAGCCCTCTTATCCCATTTTGGGTCTTATACCTCATGTGGCCCTGCCACCCTTCCATCTCACAGTCCTGCCTGTGCCAGAGTGACAGACCTTTGTCATCTGACCTGGGAGAGAGATTGTCAGCTGAACTTTATGAAGGAATTCTCCTTTGGAGGGAGGGGTAGTTTTAGGTGAAGGGAGGGTTGTTTCCTAGCCAGTTAGCAAGGTTGATGATTTTAGGCAACAGGAAACTCTTGGGGGTTTAGGGCACATCTGTGCTGTACCCAGAGCACCCTCTGGAATGTAAGGGTTCCCTCTTCCTGTGACCTGCTTTAATGTCATTCTCTGACCCATACTATAGGGTGTCTGAGCTTCTGGTAATGGGGCGTGGGGGTGGGGGTGGGGGTGGTTAATCTGACTAGTTTTCATCAAGGGGTTTTATGGTTTCTAGCTGCCCCCACCTGGTGGCAGCTAGAAAAATTGCAGGCATAGTGTCTGAAAGTAATCAGGCTAGACAATCCCACTAGGGTTAGCGGACCTCGGGCAGGTTGGAGATTTAACTTCTCTTTCCCCTCTGCTGAGAGGCCAGGATTGCATCTGTGATGTTTTTTAGAAAGTTCTTCCTCATCAGAATCACAAGTCAGAGCTATTTCCTGTATTTTCTCTTTCTTCATTTTATACCCTATACCTGGATGCTCAATACCTATTTGTGATTCTTGATGATAAATATTAGAGATGGGGAAAAGAGAGAGTATTGTATAGTAGGAAGACCTGGTTTAGGAGGTAGAAGACCTAGGTTTTTTGTTTTTTTTTTGGTACGTGGGAACCGACCCGGACTCTCTGGTCCGCATTCCGACGCTCCAACCACTGAGCCAAACTGGCCAGAGCTGAAGACCTAGGTTTTTTGTTTTCATCTATCTGATTTGCCCTTTTGGGTCTTCAACTGTTTTTTTTTTTTAATTTGTAAAGGAGTTAGACTAAGTCATGAAGATTCCAGCAACATTGCTGTGACCAGGCTTAGGGAGATGGTTTTATTTATTTTTAATATATTTTTGATTTTTTTTTAGAGATAGAGAAAAGGAGAGAGATACAAACATTGACGTGTGATAGAGAAACATTGATTGGCTACCTCCTGCATGCCCCTTTCTGGGGATCGAGCATGCAATCTAGGCATGTGCCCTAATGGGAATCGAACTGGGACCTCTCAGTTCATGGGACGATGCTCAATCCAGTGAGTCACACCGTCCAGGCTGGGGGGGATGGTTTTAAAGGTAGCATGGTGAAGGTGTTGGGTCTAGTTTGCAATAGTCTTCATTATCCCCTACTGTCCTACCATCGCTTACCTGGTGCAAGATACCTACCTGGCACTGTTAGGCATTTGAACTTATGACCCTTCTCAATTAGACAGTGTCTTAGATTTGTTGTAAGAGTCATTTGACTTGTATTTAGATCTGAAACTCAAATGATAGTTGTTGATCATCATCACCATTGGGGGATACTAACTGGGCATCTGTTTTGAGTGTGTGGTGGAAAGTGCAGGCGGAAAGCACAGTATAGAGCTGCTTCCTATCCTAAGTTGCCTGCAGGCCAATTGGGAAGACAAGTGTGTATGATTTTAAAAGTTTATAAACAACCCAAGTGGCCTGTGTGGGGCATTAAGTGCTTCTGAAACTCAGAAGGAGAGAATGCTGAGGGCTGGAGCAATCAGGGAAGACTTCCTGGAGGTAGAGAGATGAAAATTCTACTCATTTCTTAAAGATGAATTCCACTGATTTGTTTGTTTCAAGTCAAATGGATATGAAACTGGGATTAGATGCTGGCATCGTGTTTGCACGTGTATTATCTTGTCCTCTCAATTAGCATTTATCTAGTCCCTGTGTGTCCTGGGCTCTGGGCTAGAAAGGTATATGTATTTTGTTCAATCTTCATATGAACCCAGTGAGGTTATTACTAGATCTCTTCAGATGAAGAAACTGGGGCTTAGAGTAGTTAAGACACTTTTCTAAGACTTCTCAACTAATAAATAGCAGAGTTAGGCATTAGCCTGTCTTAAAAAACAATCTTTCCCCACCGCGCCATGTGTTTCACACCTTCAGTGTGGGCCTCCTTGGTGAGATGCACGTACATACTGAACTCACCACTGACTCTCCCTAAGCACATGGGTGGGCTTGGCCAACCCCCAGCTCGGCCTTGGCTGCCCTGCCTGTCCAGCTGAGCACACTGGGACTTTTTCTTGGTATTTGTTAGCAATTCTGAGCTCTACACTCAACCCTTTTTCTCTGCCCTTTACATTCTTCTGCCTTTGACCTTCAGAATGAGCTCATTAGAGCTCCTTGAGCTGTGTGCAAAGCTGGGTTTGGGATCTTGGGGCAAAAGGGGCATTGACCTTGGCCTCAAGTTCATTCTCTCTGTGGAGTTCTGCCACTGGTGATGTGGATGACTTGTAAAGAAGTGAGCACTGAATGCGGAGCTGGGCTGAGCTGATTATTGCCACTTACTCACTTCGACCTTGGTCCCTCTTTATGCCTCAGTGTCCTCTGTAATAAACAGGGAGTTGGCAATGTTTCTAGTGTCCTTATGTCTTCAATATCTTGTAGTTTTTATTGTGTTCTTCACCCTTCTTTAAGCCTCTTCTCTCTAGTGATCTAATTTCCTTTCCCTCATTTCCCTTCTCCACCTCCCTTTCCCTTGGGGTCTTGCAGATAAATTCAGCATCATGCTGATAATCAGGTCTGCAGGTTAAACAGGTAACTGCTCTCCATACTGGTACTTGGAGAGGGAATTCCTAGACACCCACCCACCTGCCAGAATGTGAGCTCTGACCGGGCAGGGCTGTGTTTCACTTGCCTTGGTGTCCCCACTTTCCAGCACACAGGAGGAGCCTGGCAGCGGTGGGTGGGGCAAACGGAGCTGGAGGAGTTGCTCTGGAGGGTTATGGACAGGGCACACGCTCACAGGCTGTGGGGTGCAGGGACAAGTGTCTGGTCCTCTCAGTTGGCTTAACCCCGCCTACTTCTTACTGCCCCGCCTGTTAAGTGAGTCACAGGCCAGCGAACACCGGAGTCCTCACCCGCCTGGCCACTGGTTCAGGCTCTGGCCCTGTCTGGTGTGGTCACACGTGTTGATCCTCCCAGGAAACTGGTAGGGCAAGGCTGCCCCCACCCTCTGATGGGCAAATCAGCTGCTTCGAAGGCCAAGCTGGATGTGGCCTGGGCTCTGGGCCCCTCAGGAGGAGGTGAGTGGCCCTGCAGGCTTCCAGCCGCCTGGTCCCTGGCAGGTGGTCAGGGGATTCATGCTCCTGTGTCCTCACCAGGTGCAGGCCCCCTTGTGAGCAGCAGACCGGCCTGGTGGCTGGCAGCACGACACCCGTGTCTGCATGCTGAGGAAGATGGGTGAGGCGGTGGCCAGAGTTGCGAGGAAGGTCAACGAGACGGTGGAGAGCGGCTCTGACACCCTGGGTGAGTGAGGGCGTGGCTTTCCAGCCACAGGGCACCCTAGAAGTAGTTTGTGAAATCAGTGTGGAAATGCAATAAAAAGATGAAAGAGACAATATCAGTGTGCCCCTCTCATGAAAAGCAGTGTTTCTTAGAACTTTTATTGCATTTATGTTTAATTTGTGTATATACTGGGTCCCAGCATGCAACTTTATGGGTCATAGTTAGAGAGGTTTGAAAAACACTGAGTGAGGGGTTCCACCTGCTGGGAGCCTGTCTCCCTGCCCTTGGACTGCAGATGACTCTGGGTGTGTATATGCCCTTGGACCAGGTGACAATAGTTGGCACCACTGAGTCATCCCATGTCTCAGGCCCTGTGCCTTATTTTCACAACCTCCCTGTGATGGACGATCCCTGCCAGGCATGACCAGCTGTGGTCTTCGGGTGAGGAAGAGATGAAGAGTTGAAGGCAAAGGGGGCTTTTTTCAGGTCACCCAGCTGGGAGGCCCCATTCAACTCCACTGTTTTATTTGAATTGTGTCATATATTTTTTGCTTTGAACTGGTCACAGCATTAATAAATATCTGCTGAATCAACTATCTTGCCATGTGCAAGGGTTAGCAGGAGATATAGTGCGATGTGTGTGTGTGTGTGTGTGTGTGTTTGTGTGTGTTTCATTCACTGGAATGTAAATGGCACCTTGGAGCCATAGGCATGCTGTGGGAACCCAGAGGAGGGGAGCACCGTCCTGCCTTGTGGGTGATTGTGCAGGTGGACAGGTTGGGATTTGAGTTGGGTCTTTGGTACACAGAGAGGAATTTCACAGGCAGGTAGGGATGCGTGTGTCTGTTTCCACGGAGGCTACTACCTGAGCAAAGACCCAAAGACTAGAAAGGTAAAGCATTTCTTCAAGCAGCTGTTGGTCAGGGTGTATCTGGAATGTGGGCTTCTGGGTCAGGGGGTGGTGGCCCAGGAAGTAGAGGGACACTCAGCTTTCAAGATGAGCTTAGTCACTGCCTCTCCCAGGAAGCCCTCAGTCCTAGCCTGTCCACCCCTTGTTCCCTTCCTCCTCTGTAGCACCCATTCAGTGTCCCTAGAGACTGAATGCAGTGTTCCCCTGTCCCCCAAGAGCCAGTGTAGTGTCAGGCACTTTGTGAGCTCGTGGCGGTGTTTGCTGAATTGAGCTAAGGTAAGAGGAGCATATCCTCTATCAGCTAACAAACTTAAAGACTGTTACTGATTTTGGAGGGAAGCCTCTGGGGGGAGCCTTCAGCTGATGAATAAAGGAATTCTGGAACCCTGTGCTGGTCACTAACATGGTTGTACGCAGCCTAGTGCTCAAGGCTCTTCACCACTAATGTGGTTGAGAGCCAGGCTTTGGGTCACACAGGCTTGGATTTGAATCCCCACTCTGCCACCTCCTAGCATGCCACCTTAGCAGGTTACTTAACCTCTCTGGGCCTCGGTTTCTTCATCTATAAAATGGGGGTGTAATTGTGTCTCCCTCATTAAGGTGATTAGGAGTAATTGTAATGTCTGTAAGGTGCTTGGCATGTAGGTAGCTCAATAAATGGCAGCTATTATTTTTCCTCTTTCTCATCCTCAAGGGCTGGAGGCGGAGGCCTAAGTTCCTCCCCCGTCCCCTGACCACAAACACACCTCCTCTAGGTGTCAGCCAGCTAGGTCTTGTCTGGACGACTGCATTACCTTCGAATGGGGAGTTCAGTGCAAATCGACAAATCTCTGAAGTGAATAACCTACCCCCACTTTAAAGTGTCACAAGGGAGAAGGACACATGCAGTTCAGTCTCAGCTGTGTGGGGGCAGATGGAGGGGCAGCAGGAGGGAGAGCAGAATTCTGACCTACGGGGGAGGCACTGGAAGGAGGCAGGTGTCCCAGGCAGGGCCAGGGCTGCACCAGAGCTGGGGAGACCACTACAGAGCTGCCTCTGTAGCATGGGGAGCTGATGAGGGAGGGCACCCCACAGGTGGAGAGCCTGGAAGGCCATGTTGAGTCTAGGAGTCTCGATTTCAATGTCTCTGGACCTGAGATTGCAAACTCAGTTACCTCTACAGGCCAAGTGGGGATTTCTGTGAGCTGAAGGCTGGATGCTGTGCCTGGGGTGAAGTGTGCAGGGTGACCGGGGGAGGGAGGGCGGTGACCAGCTCTTCTGCACTGCTGGGGGGCCATGCTGCTGAGGACCCCAGGCTAGGCTGGCCACCCTGCCAGACCACCGCAGTACCTGGGGTTGGAACGCTGCCTCTGGCACCAGAGCCAGGGCCCTGTCCCCACCATGCTGTCCTGGGGTTGGGGACAGATGGTTGAGAATTAGCAGGGTCATGAGCACAGTGAAGCTGCAGTCAGTTTGGGAGAGGAGTTAAACCCTTCAGCCATAGTGGGTGTGGCCAGAGCTCAAGACTTTCATGTGTCATGTAGGTGATGGGGTCTTTAAAGTTAGAGCTGGATGATAGGGGCCTTTTTACCTCCTCAGTGCCCAGAGAAGAAGCAAAATATCAGACTAGGCCTCTGTGGGCACTTGGCAGTCCTGACCCTTGGCAAATGAAACTCATCAGACCCATACACTCTGAGGGGTCTGGGGCTTAAACAGTCAGCATGTATTGAGTACTTGCTGTGTGCAGGGTGCTGAGCTCTGCAGAGATATGCGCAACAGAGTCCTGGACCTGAAACTAGCCTGCCTCTGTGACACTCAGAGAGCGGCAAGCGACACGGGGCTCCACGCCCAGCCTGCCGGACAGACCAGGTGGCTGTAATTCGGGTGGGAGATGTTGCTGGGGGTAGGAGTAGTGCCAGATATAGTTCTCGTGTAAACCAGCAAACAGTCTGAAGCCGTTTGAACAACCAGCACCACAAAATTGCTTAAATAAACTTTGTTACAGATATACAATACAGTTTGTGTTGTTATTAACAGTGGTTTATAAAATTTCATCTTATGCTTAAATGAAGACTGGGAAATTCTGAAGTATAACGTGAATTAGAAAAGAAAAAACAAACAAACTGTCTGGCCAGCGTGGCTCAGTGGCTGAGCATCAATCCATGCATCAAGAGGTTGCTGGTTCGATTCCCAGTCAGGACACATGCCCGGGTTGTGGACCCGATCCCCAGTGTGGGGTATGCAGGAGGCAGCTAGGTGATGTTCTCTCTCATCAATGTTTCTATCTCTCTCTCCCTCTCCCTTCCTCTCTCTCTCTAAAACCAATAAAGGAAAAAAAAACCCAAGGATCCCAAATTCTCTATACAGTAAGATGCCAACTATGTTACAGGTGTATATGTACATAGAAAAAAGTGGAAGGAAATAAAACAAGCTGCAAATGATGTTAGAAAATACTGTTCTGCATTTTGTGAATGTTCTGTGATGAACCTATTACTCTTACAAATAGAGAAGAATAAGTTTTAGGGAAAGGACCGCTTGCCACTGCAGAAGGAAGGAAGTAAAACACGCTTCCTTCCTAACAGACGAGAGTGACAGGAGTAGCACTTGCTCTAGGCCCCTGGCCGCCTCCCTGGGCACAGGCCTGGGCACAGGTCTGGAGGGATGGCACAGTGTCTCCATGCAGAGCGGGAGGTGCTGCAGAGCCCGGGCTGGGAAGAGCTCAGTTACAGGCCGGCTCTCACCTTACTCAGGCCTGTCCCACTGGTACGCATCACTCGCGCTCCCCCAGGCTCTCGTGGTGTGCCTCCCCAGCCAGGCTCACTCCTCCTGTAACCTGAGCTTTGGATCCCAGCCCTTGTCACCCATTTCGGGCCTCTTCATCCCCTGAGAAGTGGGCCCCTTTCCACCTGGCCCGGGTGTGCCCCTCCAGCCCCTCACCCCTCCTCAGCCTCCTCTTGTAGAATCTTCCAAGCAGCTGGCAAAGATCTGGGCACTCTGCACCTTCCCTGAACCAGGCTCTCCTCTCTGTCCACCCCTTGTCTCCCCGAGTTAGCTCTTTCTCTTTGGAAAGGTCTCATGCCCTTCTGGGCTTCCCTGGGTGCTCGTACCCCCGAGGGGTCTGACCAACCTTACCCTTCCCTCCCTGGCCTCCAATAGCAGCATGTCTGAATGGTGGACGGGCAGGCCTCGCCACTCTGCACCCCACTCATCTTAAGTGCTGGGCAGAGGCTTCAGGTCTGCTGTGTACTTTGGGGAAGACTTAAAAAGACGATCATTACTGCGGAGGAGCGCGATTTGGAAAGGCCTGGGAGCGAGCAGGCAGGGCGGGCGCAGCTGGCTGGGATAGAGGCAGGGCAGAGACTGAAGAAGGAAAGGCCGCTGCAGGCTGGGAAGGAAGGAGCCAGCATTTATCCGGGGCCTGCTGCGTGTCGGGTGTCGTGATGGGCTCAGATGTTTGATATCTTGTTCCATCTTTTCTATAGTCTTTTGTACTTCTGACTCTGAGGATTCATGTCTGTGCTCATTTCTAGAACATTCTGAGCCATTAGCTCTTGGCATGTTGCTCTCCCATCCCTCGAGTCTCTTTTGCCTAGAATTCCTCTTGGGCTTTTCCGTTCGGTGCCTCCATCACTTGTGTGGTGTCTCTCTCTCTCTCTCTCTGCTGTGCTGAATTTCCCCAGATCATTGAAAGCACTGGACCGGTTTGGGCTCACTCAGTCTTCACTGTGACTCAGGTAATGATAATAGCCCCATTTTACAGATGGAGGAGCTGTAGCATGCAGCGTTTTTCCTCCACTGTTTCTAAGTGTTTTGTAGCACCGGAGCACTCAGCTACCTAGGCCGGGCTGCTTTCTGGGTAGGAGTTGTCCTGTTTCATCGATGCTGGAGCTGAGGCTGAGGGTGGGAGTGACTTGCTGGTGACACAGCTGTTTAGAGGCAGAGCCAGGGCTCATCACGGGTGTGTGTGGCGCCTAGCGCTGCTTTTCCCCATGCACCCTGCTGCCCCCTTAGGGGTGAGGGAAGGAGATCACCTTGAAACTCCCTCCTCCCACCCTTACACTTGCCTCACGCCTTCTGGGAACCACAGCCGGTCGACTCTGTTCCTGGAAAAGGAGGAAAATAATTAGAGGCT